AAGCCCAAAGAATCAAACATACAGAATGGAATTTGTATTTATGTATTCATTTATATGCCAACCACTCATGATTGACATAACTTCTTGAACCTAACTCCATGGTAAAGACACCCATCAACTGCAGTAGGAGCCCTTAGCCTGCAATGAAACACTTATGAGAAGAAATCCACAGTTAAATTTAATTTGGTATATAGCTATGGTAGGGCTTCCCTCAACTAGCATTTAAAGTTTTCAAAGCCTGAGGAATGTCATACTGCACTGACAATTCTACCAAACCTCACAAACTGGAGTGCACGGATTTCAGTTACATAATTCCTTCCCTTTGTGCTGAAATAAAGGTTTGGGCCCTTTCCAACTCATGTATTCAAGTGAATGGTCTTATATAATTCAATAGAACTATTTGCAGGAATAAGACTAGTAAAAGTGTGCCCTCTGTGTAACCAAACCAAGATAATGCAATAAATCCTTAAACAAAGAATATTTATTTTGTACCCAAAGGTAAATTCCACTACTCTAGACACAATGAAAGAATAGACTGATTTAAAGAGTAAAATATAAATGGCCCAAACCAATCTATCATTAAAACAAAGACATTTTTCTGATGCCGATAACAGAGATTTTCATATGGCTGAAGTTTTTAGGATGTCAAATAGAAATTCTTACAGGATTTATATATATGTAATTGTTGAAAAGGAAAGATATATTAAATAATTCCTGTCCCCTGGGTTCTTAAGCAAGTCTTTAAACATTCTACCATAAGTCAACAGCAATTATCACCTGAAACCCACATTCTCTGAAACCCATTAAAACCCCCACACTGTCATACTCTGCCATTTGTTTCATCAGTGGATAAGAATGCCATCACTTCCACTCAGCTTACATTATTATGCACAGCAAAGCTACGTATCTAGTTTAAACAACAGTTTCTCTTTTAAAAGGAAGAGGACACTTAGAGTCAGCAAATACTTATTATTAGATAGGGATTGTGTCAAAAGTATATATGTACTTAAGCTGCATGTATAAGCAGAGCCCTGAACAAGTTCTGACAACTTTAAATAAATGGTCTTAAAAGCTTTGGATATACGAGTAAATATAAGTGAAGGGCCATTTAATAAATCTGGTTTCCCCAACCACGTGTAGATAAAACAAAATAAACTGTTCTTGCAGCATCCTGAGAAAAGGGTGCAAAGTCTGTCTACCTTAGTGAATTAAGAATTTCATCCTATATCTGGAGTATGGAACTTCATAAGCAGTAAGTACCTCCATATCTGTATGTTTAGATCGGAAAGAGGTGAGGTGAACAGTGAACTGTTAGAACTGCCAAGACTTGGCACAAGATGCTGTGGACAGGTATGGTTTAAAATGTGCACTCCCTTCCTCCCCAGCCATATTATACTTGTTTTGCTTCTTGATTGTTTGATTCTGGCCTTTCCTGAACAAAACATTATGACTGTAATCAAATATGGTGAGATGCATCTTTCAACACACCCGCTTATACTATGTTTCCATTAGCAATAACATTTTGATGAAGTCATACAGAAAAATTGCTAACTTTGCAAGAGGCAATCGTGTTATGAACAAAGCACAGAAAATTCAGATTTGGAAGCTAGGAATTAAGTAGCAGCCTCCAACCCGAGTCTGGACAACACTCTATACCCATATATTCTCTTTTCTGTAAAATGCAGATAATAGATCCTTCACGGGGTTGCGGTGAAAAAGTGCTGTAGCTTAGGGGAGAGCACTAGGCTAGGACCCAGGAGACCTGTTTTCTATTCTCTTCTCTGTCCTTGGCCTGCTAGATGAGCTCGGGCAATTCATTTAATTTCAACTCCACATCTACAAGAAAGGAGATTAGCTCTTCCTCCTTCTGAAAGTGTTTTGAAATCTACTGATGAAGTGTGCTATACCAAAGTTAGGTATATAAAAATAATAAGAAAAGGTGCACAAGTAGTACTTTTCACTAGCGGTCATAAAATCAAAAGCATAGTAGCAAAATTTAGCATTTCCTTTCTTTAAAACAGGAAATGTTACCAAGGATAAGTAAGTTATCAGCTGTACTGTTATAGGAAAAATGTAGTATTTGCCCTTCATTCATGAATATGTAACAAACAGATTAAATAAATGTTCCAAGCAAAGCTTCACTCTGTCAAACTATATTGTGAGCAGAATGCACCCATTGTAAAAGATTTGCACAAGTGCTGACTTCTAGATCACATTTTAGGTTTTTTTTTTAAAATGGTGTAATTATTCCATATTTCTAATTATAGACGGAACCACATAACAAGCAAATTAGCATCCCAGCTTGGTGTGTGGGCTTGCAAGATGGTAGCTTTGATCAGTACTAAGATGAAAGCTGTAGAGGAAAGTGCTGCAAGAAGCTATACAGGCAGTTTTATAAAAAGTGGCAATTTTGCGCCTCAAAGTCCAGCATGATATCCATGGGTAGGCTGCAGCCTTTCAGAGTAACATTTTTGTTAAAGGGACTTTGATCCCACTATGCCACAAATGCACTTACAAGTCCAAAACCAGTCATTAAAGGTTTCATGAAATGTAGAAGACACATGGTTCTAGTGACCTGAAGACCAGTTATTTGTATTACATATTTCCTATAAGTTTAACAACTTATTATTCACTTTGCTCTGTAGAAAATCCTGACAGCTACAGATGACAAGTGCTACTACCTCTGTTGAAGAATCGGGGAACATGACTCAGAGGTGAGGTGCCTTACCCAAGGTTACAGAGTGAATTGGTAGCACAGCCATGACAAAACCTAGGCTTTCTGACTCCCCTATTCCAGTGATTATTCATTAAATAAAACTGCCATTTAAACATTTAAGTGTACTATTCATATTATCCTAAAATGATGCAGTGTTAGTGCTGATATATCTGTGATGCATTTCATTCCCACAGGTAAATCTGTGTATGGTTATAATTGTGAAAACAGTCTTTAAAACATAGTAAGGACCTTGTAGATGAAAGGCTACAAGGCCATATTTTCATGCGTTTTTTAGCAAAGTTTTGTTCAACTGATAAACAGATTTTCACCATAACACATGCAGTAATTTTACTATTGTGGTTTTCCAAAATGCAGATTTTGGGTATAGTCCAGTGTGGACAGCATTTCAGCAAGTCATGAGTCAAGCAAATTGACTACCATTGCTAGATGCACAAATACCTCACCACAACAGTGGGTTTTTTTTAATGATGTAACAATGTAATGGGGGGATCCAATTGAACAACAGTTGCAAACAAACCATTAAAAAGGTAACATTATCAATTGTCCTAAGTCATACTAAAGGCACAAAAAATTAAAATAAATATTTCTAACAAAAATGCACCTGATAGCTCCTAGCACCTCAGCAGAATACTTTCATTTTTCCATGTCATGAACATTAAGCTTTCCTCTAAAAACTGCTATACAGCAGGAATTTAAATCTAGGAAATGAGGGCTTCCTGCCAGGAGAAATAATTCTTTGCAAAATCTGGAAAAAAACCTATTGAAAGTTTAATGATGGCTCTTTAAAAGTAAGTGCAAATGAATACCTGTTTGGCAGAAAGGGAATTTCTGTACAGTGCTGAAGGCCTCTAGGAAGTAGCAACACATCCAAAAGAACGGCAGGCTACATTTTCATACAGTATTTGGGGCAAACCAAACACTTGGATTCCACAAATATCTCATAATCAGCACATAAACATGGCCCATCAGTAATGAGATTTTTGGGGGGAAATCACAGATTCAGCCAAGATTCACTTGCCAGGTGATTACTGCCATGGTCAACAATTAATGGGGTCAGATTATTTTTAAGCAATACAAGGGAAATACTGCAATTTTCCACAGACAGCTAAGCAAAAACACATTCATGTCTATTTTGATCTTGTCATATGCGCATCTAGATAGTGCATGCTAGTCAGATATCGAGGCAATGTTTTAAGGACAGTATCATTTCCTGTTGTCTGTTTGAAAATGAGCTTTGTAAGATGTGCATTTTGCTGTCATCAAGGCAGCATTGAAAATCACTGCGCATTAACTTCAGAGGAGATATGGCTAGCCATATCATCACCCTTCAAGTTGACAGCTCAGAGCCCATAAAAACTAGTTGCATTCTGGGCGGCATTATCTTGATCAAACAACGCAAACAATTTTAATGAGCTTATCGACTGAAAGGTACTGTCAGATATGTTCACGTAAAAACATTGCCAACAGTACATGCCAACCCATTCATCAAAAATGCCGGCAACTGTGACAAAGACCATAGCCGCCAGCCTCAATAGTCCAAACCGTAACGCAGTTGCCTCCCTGCTGCAAAGGTTGGCGTTCCCTGTAACAGACCAGAATCCTAAAGAAAATGCACAAGCCATCTGCGGCATCTTCTAGAAGCTACTGCAGTCTACCTTGTGTCTAATAAACCTGAGGCTTTGAGGAAGAAATTTTAGTGAACGCGTGACACCCTGACCTCTGCTGTCAAGCCTTCCGCCAATCAGAGAGCACAATTCTTACAAAGCTCCATCAATCTGGCGGGTTAACATCACAGCCTGCAGTTTCATCTAGAGGATTCCATTTTTCCTGAGCACACCAAGGCAGGCACAAGCCCCTTCCATGCCAGCCCCTCGCCTTGCGCTCACAGGCAGGCCTGCCCAAGGTCTCCTTTGCCATAAGAAACGGTGTGCGGCAGGCTGATTTCCTTGGGGAGGTCTAAAATATTGCTTGCTTTTTTTCCCCCTTTTAATCAATAGGCGGGGAAGGCGGGGAGCCCCTGCAGACAGCAAGTCTATTCACAAAATGTTTTCCATCTGGACAATACAAGCGCTATTCCGCACAGCTCAGCTGCAGTGCATGCTAAACGGGACCCGTGCTCATCAGTCCTAGAGGATTTTTAAAGCCCCTCTGGCAGCCCTCCGGTTTTGTTATGTCATCTCCCTGCATTGACCTCGCCCTGGCGCAGTCCCCCAAGCCACACACCCCTCCACGCAGCCAGCCCCTGCTGTCCAGCGCCGATTACCTGTAGGAACGCTCCCCCCGTACTGTGTGCTTCCTGAAGGGGATGATCGTCCCGTTATCCTGGATGATGTCGTTGTTGTTCTCTCCATTGGGGGACAGCGCTTGGGTTGGTCCAGGCATTGGAGCTCTCCCCCGATCAAGCAGATCTGCCCCTTGCCTGAGCCTGGAAGGCGGAGGCTGCCCAGTCTCCTTGCTTGCTCGCCTGCTCCTTTGCCACAGATTCTCTCTCCTCCTCTCTCTCTTCCCCTCCCAACCTTCTTGCTGACGTCAAACTGCCTGGAGCAGCACCCTGATCATGTGACACAGTCCCTCACCATAGCAACCAGCTAACTCATCATATCTCCTCAATTCACACAGGGCTCCAGCATGACCACACCACTGTGTGCAAACAGGCACAGGGGGCAGGCCTACATCTGGCATGTAACACACCAAGCCCCCTCCCTGCTCTTTACCCCAGCCCTCTCACAGCAGCCTTGCCTGCTCCAAGGCAGCCCTTCCTCTAACCATTTCCTTTCAGTCCCATACTCAAACTGCAGCTGTGTACACAAAGAGCGATTCGCTGGGGGGGCACCTTAACCCCCTCCTGCCTGGATCCTCCAGGTCACTGAAATTAAACAGACTGCGCCTCCGCAGAACCAGCAAGAGGCTAGCAGGAGGCGGTAGTCGGAAATGCAATTGTTCTAGACAAAAAAGGGTGACAAATTCATTGTTGGAAGAAACTATGGGGAAAGCCCTAGCTGCTGTAACTAAGGGATTCACATCTTTGCGTAAAAAGCACTGGAAAACACACTGCAGGGAAATGCTCTGCACTGTTATAGGGAGAGAGCAGACAGGACCAAAGATCTTTTTCCACAGGCCTGTTACCTTCTTCAATTTAAATACAAATGTTAAAATGATTTGTGGAATAAGGTGGCATGGCAGAAAGCCATTCTTACTACGCAGAGGCATTTGGGAAAAAGTAGAAATGCAACATGTCCTTTTTTTTTTTTTTTGCCCATCACCTGTGATTATTGCAGTCGTTTATTATTTTGCCCTACATTTGTGGGAACAACAACTGTTTTTGAAAGAGTCAAAATCTATCATCTAGCTCTGATAATAACAAGTTATTTTTGGTCTCAAGCTCCTGGAATTAGCATTAAAAAAAATAGAAGAAATGAGCCTCTGCAATGTGTTCTCATACAATACCCAGATGGCAGCGATAATCCAAACATGAAGACAGCACATACTTATTTTTTCCAGGAGTTCTCCATCTATTTTAATGTACATCAGATAATTCTGATCCTCACTAATGCAAATGTTTCCTTTTACTTTCCCTAACTTTGAATGGTGTGGGTCAAGAGGATTTTAATTTTTTAAAATATAAATCAGCTCCTTCAGGGGGAGTGGCTATGTTATGTTAGACATATTAGACAGCAGAATTGGGTACCCACCAGGAAAAGCAAACAAACTTTTATTTAATGGTCTCAGTTTAATGCCTGGCCACATGTGTAGATCCTTTCCTCTGCCCTCTTCCCCCTCCCTTCCTTTGCTCCTCAGATGGTATTTCTCCCAATCCACTCAAGAGTACAGGGCTCCAATGCATTATTTTCCATCTTTGTTGTGTTATACTAAAATAAACTTTAAACTAAATTTTTAACTTTCCCAATTTCTCTTCATATTAGGGCATGATCTGAACCCACTTGATGACTTTCCTCCTTTCAAATGTTGGAGAGATAACAGGCAAAAAGAAAAATACTTGTGATATGTTAAAGGGAGAAGGTGTTAATTCTGTTAGCTGTTTTGTGAAAGGCTATGTTAATTACGTCTTCCTTTCTTCTTCCACCCTCTTTAAAAGGCAGATAACAGGTTTCTTTTCTTCCCATATTTCCCTCAGCATATCCACAGGTAGTTAAGACTTTCCTGCCTATTTTCCACTTTTAACATAAGGAAGTATGGCCCATCTTCAGATTTTTTTCTGGATAAAAATGCAAATGTCAGTCTTTTCTATGGAAGTAGATTATAAACTGAATTGTGGCAACCACCATTGTACCTTTGAACAATGGATCAAAAACCACCTCTGCCATGTTTACTATGCAAAAAAGAAAAAAAAAAAAAATCAGATCATTGAAGTGTTGATGTGCGCCCTATCCGGGTGTCTCTTTGCTAAAGTCTACACTCAAATTAAAAACCAACTGCTTCTAAAAAATTAATTTTTGAATGTTAGACTTATAAAATATCCAAGAGAAAGTACAGTACAAAGCTTTTCAGTTGTCAGAAAGACTACAATCAGATTTGTATTTTTAGAGAGAGCTAGCAACTTCTGTGTGCAGAAGAAAGTTGTTTGTTTTTTTTTAAATGTTGTGAATAAAAATCAATCATTTCCTGACCTTTCAGTCTGACAATGCTTAGGAAAAATTTAAACTTAGATCCTTAGCTTGTACCAACTGTGTCGTCTCTGGACATGTGAACTTTTTAAAGGACATAAAAAATTCAAGTTAGTCAATTTGGAAATAACTCATAACCACAGAACAAATTGGTTTATTGTAATGCTGAGAAATCTACTCAAACCTAAATCATGGTGTGACTTTATTAACATGGGCATCTCAGAGAAACTGGGCCTGTCAACACATCACAGGCCATGGAAGAGCCAGATATGAACTTTAATTCTACTGATCCAAGCAGGATTTGAAGGAGAATCCAGAAGATAAAATGCCCTGTTTTCAATCACCAGTGCTAGGATACATCTAATAGGTATATTTGCTTGTAGAATAATTAATTAAAAAAATGACAATGCATTTGAAATGACATGGGAGAGATGGATTCATGCTCAGCATTATAACTTCTTCTTGGAGCCTCTTCACACACAAGCGCTACGAAGTAGACTGACCAAGGTGCCTGAGAAACTGTTGAGACAATGGAAAAACCAAACTGCTAAATAGTGTTAGAACACTAAAATATCTTGTAGTAGGTCATCAGCTGCCAGACATATCCCTACCTGATCTCCCAGACGGTTGCAGTAAAAACACTAAGCTACCTCTAGCTTGTAAAAACATTTTTATTTCCTCACCAATGGCAGAGAACAAAGACTGCTTTATTGAAGGAGTCGCCAAAACAGTTAAAACATGCACTGGCAAAGCCACAGCACAGAGAAGACAAGATGAACACAACATTACAGCATCATTTCAATCACTTAACTGCTCAGATTAGGAATTCCAGGTCTAATCCATTTTGCCTGAAAGAAGTTTCCCTTTTCAGGTTGTGTTGGGCCTGGACAGTATTATATAGTTTCTACTGGTTTACAGAACACAATGTTTCTGCAGAAGTTCTAAGGCAATCTGGGGAGTAGGGAGTGACTTGAGTCTCGTATGCATGACAGTGCCTCTGCTTGGCTGGCTGAGTCTCCATTTAAAAAGATTGTATGCGTTACAAATGTAACTAATTTTGTATGCATGACAAACCACTACAAGTAGAGTAAATCGTCCTGTCGGTTTCTTTCTCCCACGTTCATAGTTCTCTGCAAAGAATTCCCTAGATCTGGACCCAGCATTATGGAACACAGACAGTAAGCCACAGCAGTTAAAAAACTGTATATCCCTTCTGGTTTTCACTCTCTTACACACAGTGAACCCGCACAAGCAGAAATGCAACTTTAAGAATGTAGGTCAGTTAGAAAAGTATGATCTTTAATCAATACCTAAGAAAATCCAAAGGCATTTTTCATTAAAATGCAAGATTGGTTTGTGCTATTTCCACTAATTAACCAAAGCAAAAATAACTTGGAAGCTGTAATTAATGCACAAGCTCTTCCTTCCCAAGCATGATCTCCACCCCTTATTTCCCATGCAAGGGAATATATTACAAAAATGGGACGAGAGCTCAAACATGCTACATTTTAACCCACCATTGTGATCACTTAACTAAGCCCATACAAGTCTCTGTGGACATCATTCTACACTCCTACCTGCCTGGGAAGCAAGAGAGTACAAAAAGTATCAGCACACACCTTTTCTGCATTACAGAGTGTCCCAACAGGGACAGCCTTTAACGTTATTTTTCAAAGCACCATTTGAAAATTCTGTGAAAGAAGCAGAATTTGTTTTCACCCATTACTTTAGTCCAGGGGTTGTCAACCAGGTGCAACTTTGGGGTACTTGGACTGATCCTAGGGGGTACGTGCAGGCAGGTGGGGATGGGGCACTACTGCAGGAGCAGGGGCAGGGCAGGGCAAGGGCAGCAGTGCCCCTCTGCAGGGTGGGGAAGCTTGCATGCATTGGCCACTGCCACCACAGACTAGCCCGGTAAGCTTCCCTGCCGCACCCTGGCCCTGCTCATGGGAGGCAGTGGTGCTGTGTCCCCAGCCACCCCCTCAGTGTCCGGCCATGCACTACCCACTCCCACTCAGTGTCCAGCTGCTGAGGGTGCTATACTGGTATGGATATACCAACCAATTTTTCAGCATAGCTCTGGCACAATATTCTTCCACCCCTCTACAAACTGATAGAGGATTAGAGAGCTTCATACTGGGTACGTCTACATGTCTCTGCTTCCAGTCTCCCAGACACAGGCACCCAGCATGCCGAGTCCTGTTCTTGCTGAGCCCTTGCTGAAAACCCTCCAGCTGGTGGTGATAGTAATAGAGGTGCCCTGGGTGCACTGAAAGATGGTCCTAGTCAACATCGCCCATATCTGGGATCTCCTGGACTATGCCAAACAGGGATGGGCAGATCCTGTTGTGCTGGCCTGGTGCATGGAGCTACCTAATGCTGCATGTGCCCTGCTATGTACTCCACAAAGTCAAGGCCACTTTGCTGGACACCGCTCTTGTCTACATTGACCAGAACCTTCAGGAAGGTAGTCCCCATCACCTAGTATTTCCCACCCTTCACTCCAAGTTCATCATGGGGTACCTGCCTCAGCAAGCCTCATGAACCTCCCCACCTCACCATCTTAGCAGGCTGGGGGATACCAACCTGGTTCGTTTCTGCACTGGCCACTGTGCTGGCTCTACACACCCATGGTCTGCACCCTCCACCATCCCATCCTCACACCAAGTAGCAGGGTGCACTCAGTGCACAAGGCTGCAGCCCCTTCACTGCCTCCTCCAGAACCTCTTGCTGAGGTTCTGGCTGCACTTTCCCCCTCACCTGTTTATTTATGCACTCCCTGTCCATGATACCACCAAGTCCCAGGACCTCCTGGTTAAACTCCTCCTGGCCCCATCTAAGTTCACCATCTATATCATCAAGAAGGTGGCTCTGGTTGGGAAGGCCCCTGGGGACTGCAGG